GGTATTCAACCAATGCTTGTTAAATGAACAAATAAGTAACTGACTGTAAATTAAGGCATGTCTGCTTTCATAAATAGCTGGGAGAAAAATATGATGCCATTTTATTCCAAACTAATAACTAATATTATTTAGGTTAATTTTATTTTCCCATATGAAAATAAAGTTTTGCAATGGAAAAAAATAATTTAAAAAGGGGAATATTGTAATCTTAAAATCCATTGACTAATAAAAAGGAACTAACTCTTTAAGTGCATACTTATGGGATATTAGGTTTTCAAGTCATCATGGAAGAAAAGGTAGGTGTATAATAAGTTTTCGATGAGTTCAAAGCTTGCTCTTTTTTTTGAAACATTTTGTTCTCAATAATAGACCCTCAGAGCCAGTTTTATCCTTCAGTATCTAATTTTAAATGTAACTAAAAACAGACTGTAACATGAGGTTGTCGGCAGACCCCACCGTGTTCTGAGCTGGCCACTCTCATTAGTGTGAGTGCACATGTTGATAGCCCCAGGGGGCATTTATGTGACACCAAAGAACGTTTCATGGCATGCCTTCAGTCAAGATTTTACTCAGGCATTTCGAGTCTCTCTCTAGTGCTATAACCTCTTTTTCTGTAGCTTTTATTCGCACTTGACCCTATGTTTTAGAAAGTACACACAAGTCAGTATTCCAGACATCCCAGGGACTTGAAGAGCTGATCTAATGTCTGTGTTGCAAGATGAAAAACAGAAGAATTTCGTTGAACCCATAAAAAGATGACATTTTGCCTGGCCCTGAGCTGTTCTGTTCAAAATTGAAGCTTTTGCAGCTTGTGGATCCTTGATTTGTGAGCTAGAGAGCATCACATCTCGGCCATTATTGAATCATAAAAGTTCTCTGCCTCTTCCCAGCTCATTTTATTTAAAAGGAAAAAGAAAAACCCTTTATCTTACAAAATGCATTTTCTTTTTATTTTCCTTCATTGCTGGAATGTATTCTGTAAGGGTCCAGTGAAAACATATGTAAGAGGTAATTTGAAAAGACCATTGAGCTGATGCAAGAAAGGTTATTTGGGTGGTTAGATTCGAATAGGAGTCATGAGAATAAGGCACTTTGCAGTACTTTTTTTGTGCCATATCACCTTGTGAAAGGCTAGAACCCTGCACACATTAATTATTTTCATCGTCTATAAAATGGTAGTATAGAGCCACATAACACATCCAGGTCAGGGTCTGGTTTAACCACAAAAGATTGATTGGTTCAAAGTGGAATGAACTGAGCATGAAGGAGAAGGCTTTATTAAGAATTCATTTACATTGTATATATCTTGGATAAGAGAGAGAGACCCATGGAATGTTTCTAAACAGCATCTGAAGTAGTAATTTTCTAGCTTAACTATATCACCTTGTAACTAAACCCATCTCCATAGTGTAATTATTCCCTTATGTAACATGTATTCAATGCATTTGATAAATCAGTCACTATCTTGGCTGCTGGAAATCAATAGCATAGTCATTTTTCTTCTTCGAAGAGCTCTCAGTCTTTTTATAAACATTTTACTATGTCAGAAAGATAAGTGTTATTTAAATGCTTATACCAGACATATTCCTATTGTTGTATAAATAAAAGATAATACAACATTATTTTATGTGTAAAGAGTACCAGATATTTGCAACAAAAAATAGGAAAAAAATAAGTGTGCCACACAGTTAATTTCCAAAAGCACTTTTTTGTGAATTTTGTGATGTTCATTGTATTTGTGAGCTTTTTAAAATCCCTAATGTATCATGGCTTATTTTCTGATTCTAAATAAATATTTACTTCTGTACATAATTTGATATTCTTATTCTTAAAGGGTTCCACCAAACTGTAGAAAATTGTGACCTGACACAGCCTCAGTCCGGCTCTGATACAACACTGTTATCTGAGATGATCTACACAAAGTCACAACATAGTACCTTGCATGAAATAGGAGGTTAATGCATAGCAGGGATGATTCTTACTGTAGTTCTTGACTGGTTCTCTCTGTCCTTCTCACTAGCCATGGGAAAGTATCTTTCTACAGAATCAGGAAAAAATCACGACATCCATGATTGTCCTTATTAATTCTAAGAATAGTTTCAACTCATGCCAAAACCAATTTTTATGAAAACAAGATTTCTGTTTAATTTTGTACAAAATGTATTGATGAAAGTAAGAATCCTTTAAGAAAGTAAGTCTGGAAACTCTGAAGCCACTTATAAATTGAAAGCACAGTGTTAGGCAGATAGAGATGGAAACAAATATTACATACAAATGTTTACTCTTTCTTCCCTCATTTTGAAATGTCTGTTGGAATAGTAGAGATAAATGAGTGTGAATTGAACAGTTCTTTAGTGAAAAAACTCATAGGTGTTTAGAATCCTTTATAGCAAGATGTCCTCAATAGCAATTTCTCTTTTTCTTTCCTGAAAAAGATGGAGAAAGTATTCAGGGTTTCTCAGGGCTTGGAAAGAAAAATACAGCCATGCTTTTCATTGGCTTCAAATAGTGCAAATAGTGTCAACAAAGCCCCTGCAGCTGAGTCAGAAGGAAGATAGCCACCTGTGATAAGCAGCCCAGGGTAGCTTTGAAACTCAGCCAGCCCAGATTGAGGACAGGCTTCAAGGAAGGACTTTTGACTTCAACTTAATCACCTGAGGCTGATTGATAAGGAAAAATGAAAGATTACTAAGCAAAGTTGACCTGCCTTGAAAGCATTTATTTCTTTACAATGTGCTTTAGAATTGTCCATCTGTCATGGTATTATTATTATTATTAAGGTTAATGTTAATATGGCCTTATATGTTTAATAATTGTGAGGAAAAATTTGGTGCTCAATGCATTTGGGAAGAATTCGTTTAAGTGAAGCAGTAGAATACAAGAGTGTTGTAAAGAGTGCTAGCTCCAGAGCTAGACTGCATTGAAAATCCTGACCTCCTAGCTCCATGACCTTAGACAAGCTCCTGAAACTCTGTAAGAACTGGTTTTCTGAACCAAAGAAATTAAATTAATGATAGCTCTGCCTCATCAGATTGCTATAAGGATTAAATAAGATGATCTCTACAAGGATATTATTAGCCCAATGCCTGGAAGGCAGTAAAGACTTCCTAAAATTGAATCCCTCATTAAACTTGAAGTCATACATTCCCAGTACTCCTCTAGTATACTGATCTTAGTTTCAAGAAATTTTTGTGTTCCTCTCTGTGGAAGTAGCAGTTAATAGGAACTAAAGAATATGGAAAGTTTCTCTGTTGATTTAAGAATCTGTTTTACCTAAGAAGATCTCTGTCTGTAGCTGATGACAACATGCGGGCCCTCCCAAAAACAGTTAAACTCATTTTGTTGCTGGGGTGCTGACCAGAGGCAACTGACACAGCTCCTCAAACTCAATCTGGTTCTACTTCAATGAATAGATATCCAGGCAAATGGATTTACTACGTTTATCCCAATTCACAGTAGAAGTTATAAATTTTCAGGCTTTTATGACGTAGTTACCTGGGCATGAAGCTTTTAGTTATCTTTTCTTCTTGGTAAAATAAAGAAAGATGCAGACGGTGGCATCAACAACCAAGCAAAGATGATGAGTGACTATTTTAGAACCATACAACTTCAATGTCAAGACATGTAGTGAATCATAGAGTTAGATACTAAGGGTAATAGCTTGAGCTTGGCAAGCAGTGTAAGATTATATGATACTTTGTTGAATAAAGAGAAACACATTACAGATAGCTGGGATTTCAACATACTTGCAAGGGAAAAAAGCCAGAGAATATTTTTCAACTGTTTTGTTGTGTTAGTCATCCTTTACCTCCTAAATTAGTTTTTGTCTATTTATTGTCTATTTGTCTATCTATTATCTATTTGTCTGTTGTCGATTGTTTATTGTCTTAGAAATTATGTTTTTAGGGTCTTGGGAGGTTTTTGCTTTGGCACTGTCTTTCCTTATCCCTGTTTAGATGACAACTTCTAACTCAGCACAACAAAGAAAAGCTGGAGCCATTCTTAACAGAACATCTAGATACATTTAAACAGCATACTGGGAACGTGCCAAGGTATCATTACCATCTGCAGAAAAGAGTTCCAAATGTCAACTTTTATTTTATTGATCAACAAATACGCACATTTGAAAAGTCAAACAAAAAACTAACATGAGAGCAACGTCAACCTGGTAGAGCATGAAGTGATTACTTTCTTCATCCTGTATGTAAGTAAACAATTTCCTTAATTCATCCCCCCAGTATTGTTTTATAAGAAAATTCATGTTTGTGATTGTCATATAATCTTTCTTCAGTTTTAGGCTCAAAGCCAGTTGTCTTCTTGATATGACGTCAACACTTGAACCTTGAACTCAGATCTTTAAAGATGCTGAGGTTTTTAGGACACTCTCCTACCAGGTATTAATCATTTCCTATTTCTTTGGGTCCAGTCAACTGTAAGAATATTCTTGGCTACCCTGGCTTTTTGCTATGTCAAGCTCTCACAGATAGGCCTCTAATAGTCCATACTAGTCTATAGCATAGATAGCAATTTTTCTCTAGAAAATATCAAATTAAGTTAACTTTCAAATTGTTAGCACTTCTTTTTTGGGGGGGGCGTTGGGAGGAGTAAGCCAAAATTTAGCACAGTATCTTAGTAGTAAATAGTTATTGGCAAGTAGCATGTGCTTAATAAATATAATATTAGATGATGGTTTTAAAAATGACATTGTTAGAATAGACCTCATACTCTCCCAAATCCTCAGTAGATAATCAAAAAATATATAAAATAGAGAAAATATTCAGTATCACCGGAAACTAGGAAAAAATGCCAGTATTCCCCCTCCCTGACACTAATAAAGAGAAGCAACATCAAGAAGTAAGAGGAATTGACTGTGGCTGGAATTTACTAATAACACCAAAATCAGAGGAATTGAATGGACTTAAAGAAAGTTGAAAAAGACATAAAAATTCTATCACAAACTAAAACTAGACATTTAGGAAAACACACAAACATATACTCACTAGAAAACCCAAGCTTTACAAGGCAGCTATTCCAAAGAGAAAACCAGCAAATTAGCAGGTTGGGGATACCTGTGGAGAGAAGAAAATTAGCTATAGGTAGGCATGTATAAATACAGTGCCAAACTGTGAATGGAAAAAATTGAAGCATGATTTCTCCTATAATCACAAAGGAAAACATTCTATTTCTGATACTTCCCTTACCTCTCTTTCTTATTTCCCTCAAACTGTTGAATGCTGACCTGGCAATATCAAGTCTGATGAACACAGTATTACAAAGGGAAGAATTCAGGTGGGACATTATAATCAGGGTTGACATTATATATTGAGACTTTAATATGCCAGCCTGTGTTCCAAATGCATTTATTGTCTCACTTAACTGGAAAATGTACTTGTGATAACTAAAAGATTGGAAAACATAGAAAAATATATCATAAGAATGATTATTGAGAGAAGTGAAATGAAGATAAAATATAAATATTTATATATTTTATAAAATGGTACATAAAAATCATCTTTGAAAGATTAAACACATAATTTACTAATTAATAATAATTGAGAAGTCTAATATAAAATTGAAGATAAGCTGTAAAAATCATGATGTAGGGAAGTGTGGAAGGAAAACTAAACATGCTCAGAATCTCTTTTCGCGTAGTAGGATTCAGTTTACATTGTTTCATTTTTCCATTTTATTTTTTAGCTTACTCACTACGGAAATTTAAATTGAAATGCTTATAAGAACAAAGTTTAGAAGAAAACCTATTAAAAGGTAGAAGACAAAGGTAAGATAAAGTAAACATAAAAGACAAAAATATAAATAGAACACAGAAATGAGACTATTTTAATAAATTTGAAGAAAAATTTTATTAAAAGAGGCTGATTGAAAATTTAAAGCATATTTTATTTACAAAAGAACCATATGAGATAAAAATATACAAAAATATACCAAGATAATATTCATTTAAATGAAAAGGAGGAAAAGCATAGGTTATAATTATAAAAACAGAAAAAAAACTTCAAGTTAAAAATTCACTGACATTCATGAGAGCCATTTTCAATTTTTCAAAAGTTATACTTCATATTATCATTATGAATATATTAAAAGTCATCTCTATATATATACACACATATAAGTTTTTAAAAGCTAAAATAGCTTTTAAAACGTTTAAAAAGTTAAAATATTTTTAAAAGTTAAAATAGTTTTTAAAAGCAAGACAAATGGAAAAGAAAAGCAATAGTTATAACTTCTCATACCTCTTATTATTATGTTCATTTATAATGATTTCTAATTTACTAAAAAATGGAACTGAACCTTCAAACACCGAAGAAACATTAATGAGAAGTCATCAAATCAGCCATAGGGAAAAAATCAGTATATTCCCCAAAGAACAATCTATGAAGGCTATATACTCTGATCAAAATTTATTGATATGTGAAATAAATAACATTTTAATAGATAAATTAATTCACAATTTCATTGAAAAAGTAAAACCAGAAAGTCCACATTTCTAAACTATTCTTTTGAAAAAGAAGAAGCTGTAATTACAGACTACTGAGGCATGTAAACGTATTTATCATGCATATCAAAATTTATATGGTGCTGGCAAAACTATATGAAGACAAATTGATAGCCATAGATACACTTATTATTAAATGGGAAAAATCGAAATGCCTCACCCAAGGCCCTCCTGTAATTCTTTTACTGCCCTTTTCCACAAGTCATACATATAATTGATTCTGTTATTCATGTTGATTATGTTCTATAAAGCTGTGGTAAACACAGAATTAGCAAATGCCAAACAATTGTCCCCAGGGCAAATATGGGGTTACCTTCTTGGGAGTTTCTGATCACAGCATATTTGTAGGTTAATAAATACATAACCTTGTTTTATGGGTGTTTCTGTTTAAAGACACCTTATTTAATATATATTGTTGAATCATTACATATAACTTAATGCCAATGGCACTATAACTCACCCCTGAATGAAGTTCATGCAACATGCATTTTCTCCATAAGGCTCATCACAGCCTTCTGAACTTAGGAACACTAGACAGTACTCCAGTACTACATTTAGGGGCCATCTAAAACAGCAAAATTACCAATGAAAATGCAAAAAAAAAAATGTGGCACTAAATAAACTGCAAAAAGATCTATGGTTTATAGTATCACGGCTGAAACAAAAAGGCAGAGCATCATCTTGTTCAGCCTTAATCTGGGAAGATATGCAGCAGGAGACTGAATCTTTTTGCTTCTCTGAGCATGTCCATGAATGACCAAGAAAGAACCATGAATATGCATCTTGAAGTTACAAATAAATGTTAGCTTGCAAGCAGAGTCACAATTATGGAATCCATGAATAACAAGGATAAACCGTATTTGTATATTATCTGAAGGGATGCATATGTATTTGAAATTGTATGCTCAAGGTATTTCCAACTTTATAATAAAAGATATTTCTTGGAAGGATATACTGATAATTTCAGAAAAAGAGTCAATATTAAAAATATGATTTCTGGAAAAGATAATCTGAGTGTTCTGGTTGTAAAATTATTCAAAAATGACTTCTGTTAAGTAGAGAATATCCCAATGTAATTGTTTATGGCCAGTACTACCTATTAAGGACTGAATGTTTATGTTCCCAACAAAATTAATATGTTGAAATGTAATTCCCAGTGTGATGGTATTTGGAGGTGGAGACTTTTGTAGGTAATTAGGTAGGTCATGAGGGTTGAGCCCTCATGAACCAGACTAATGTTTTTATAAGTAGAGAAAGAGAGATTTTTTTGCCCTCTTTCTGTCATATGAGGATATAAGAAATTGACAGTCTGCAACTGGGAAAAGGACCCTCACTAGAATCAGACCATGCTGGCACCCTGATCTCGGATTTCCAGCCTCCAGAACTGTGAGAAGTAAATTTTTGTGCTTTCTAAGCTACGCTGTCTATGGTATCTTGTTCCAGCAGCCTGATGTAAGGAACTACCTAAAGTATTTAGTGGCCACCTGTGCCAGAGCACAAACAAAAAATGAAGTTAAAGCTTCCCTAAAATTATAAAGTAGATCATGCTATCAATATAATCTAATTCATAAACATTAATTAAGGCTCAAGTTTATATAGATGTAACCTGTTTGACAAGCGTAAAATTTAATTATAAAAATTTTCTAAGATTATCTGTCAAGTAATCCATCAGAGTCTAGCATACGGAGTTTTGGGGAAAAAATAGATGGCTAAATATTAGAATTAGCCCCTTTTCCAAACCATAATAAAGTTCTGTCTTCAGGACAGCAGTACCATAAAGAGGAGCCAGTTTTATTGTCAATGCATCTCTCCTTCTAAGAAGGCTTTACTTTTAGAGAATAAACACAAGGCAAGAAACTTCTCTTCCTTAAATCCCTGTACTTTCTGACACCCCTATCCTCTGTAGCCACAGATATACTATCCCTTTTCTCCCAACCCCACTTTAATGACAAATAGTGTTGTCTTTATTTTGCAAGTGAAACTTAATTCGGCACCTATATACATCCTAATTAATGCAGGAAATGTAATTCTGTACTTACAACTATGGGACTCGGAAACCGTTTTGATAGCTTAAAGTATAACAGCAAGGGTGTCTGGGAGAATGAACCAAGTCACTGCCTTCCCCTCAGCCTTGATGAATATGCCTTCTTTTTATTTCTATTTTACTTCCTCAGTTTCTGCATATAACTACAGGTTCATTCCAGGACCAGTCCTTTGCTCTGGATCTCAGATATCTGACATTTACATTGCTTTTGCCAGTCACATCATCCTGAGGGGTACTCTTTTTAGGTCTAACGACTCTGTGGAATGCTCCCTGTCAGCTGACGTCAATTATCACTGTTACTCTTGAAGGTACCTAATGTCTATTCCATTGGAATTACCTAGAAAATCAAAGCTGGTCTGACACAAGTCTTTGAACAATAATAAGCCCCCCTTCCTCAGGGCCTAGAACAACAGGTAATTCAGCTCTCTATTCACATGTCCCCTTCTATAATTCTACCTTACTCTCTTTTCCTACCATGCCAATGTTATAATCTAACTCTACTTCAACCTTCAACTTGCATACATGTTTTAAGCAAGAGGTTATGGTAAGATGCCATTTCAGAGACTAAACAGAGATCAAGTCTAAGACAGTAGACCTATCAAGAACACTGTCGCCATAAACCTATAGAGATATTTAATTCAAACTATTCCAAACCTATAAAATAACAACAATTACATTTATCCTTCCACCTGGGATACTTGAAGGATTTACTTGGTGCTTTAAAAAAAAATGAGTTCTTTCAATAAAAAGTGTTTAATAAGTTCAGAGAATCAATATTATTATAAAGTAAATGTCAAGCCAATTTGTAAATCCTTTTAAACTAAAAGTTGAAGAATTATTTTACAATGAGTTCTTTATTGAAGCAAAATTCATCTTTTTATATTTTCTATGGTCTGCAAATTTCCTTCAATATTTATTTTATTCTTCTGAATGAAGAACTTATAACACATTTTCTCCTAATGACAAATAATTACATTTAGGAAAAGGAAGTTTTGTCTTTCAATTTTACTATTTGAATATTTTTCTCTGCACTTTAAATATTGAGCATACTGGCAGAATTAGGTAAAAAATTCTCAATTTAATTCTATAAAATAATTTAATTTAACTTAACTCATTTCTTTGGAGCATCTTTATTTTCTCTTTATTTTAAACTAAAAGGAATCGGTTCTAGCAAGTATGAAGTGATATATTAGCAGGAGAATTCCAAGTATCAAATGTATATATGAATAGATTTTTCCAATGCTTCCATTAAATTTAATTTAATAACATGTTCTACTTCCACTTATAGAATTTTTCTATACTTCAGGTATATCAATTTTCTTTAATCAGGCAACATCTAAGCTGTCATTTTAAAGGCAAAATTTTTACAACCAAATAATACCTCTCTCTCCAGCATTATTTCTTTCCCTAAGATTTGCTATTTTTGTTTGACAATTCTCAGCATTAACAACGTTGAGATTTATGTCACCCAGCAAACTTCTACAGGGAGAGCCTGAGTTTTTTTTGTTTTGTTT